AGACCACCACAAGAGTCACCTCAGAGCGACCGTCCAGCTTCTGTGTCTTGGCATTGATTGTGGCCTTACCCCTTCATCCTTGAAGATAATGTCACTAGTGACAAAAACATGATTACAAGTGTTCAATGTTTTGTTTTCAGTAACAACCATGTGAGGCTCATCAAAGTTTAGCCTACACATCATTACACATTACATGATTGTACACTGTACACCTTTGCACAAAAGGATTGAGAAGCTCATAACTTCAGCTTGCACCACCTCAGGCACCAGACATTGTAGCCCTTCAAGCTCCTCAGCTTTATTTGCGACCATCACAAGGTGTGCATACCACAAGCCATGTCAATATTAGATTGGCCAGTGCTGAGATGTGCATTTTTGATAAACATCTAAGGTGTATATGTGTGTTTCAATATATGTGTAAAAATATATATATATATATGTTTGTGTGTGTGTTTGTTTTTGTATTTCATCCAGGTCTACTTCTGCAATAAATATGTTTAACTACATACTATGAATTTGGTTTGGGCATGTTTGTGAATGTAAGGGTTAGATCAAGAATGAATAAGTCTTGCACAGGTCAAGTGTATTGGGGTCCGAAGGAAAAGGTCCCTATGGTGTAGTGATATGGAGTGAGGCAGCCTCAACTACTGGTCATTTACCATTGTTTTCTACATCTTGCAGGTATCATTTCTCTATGAACTACTCAGGGGAGGGTGTAGCTGAGAACCACTAGAATGTTTATTTTTGCAGTTGTGCACATCATTATTGGACCAAAAACTCAGTTGACCATGTTCATAACTATCTAAGGCAAGGAATTGAACATGCTAATAGACCTGCGTGCACTTGTCAAGCTCAATGAAGCCTGGCAATGGGAAGGATAGTTTTGCATGCGCTTCCCGGACACATGTGTGTTGAGGCAATGCCGAGAAGTTTGGCCTGGATTGTGGCCTCTGATTACCCAGAGGTTGTGCCAGAAGTCTCTTGGCAGCTGGGTGTTTAGACATGTTTATCATTATTTTGTCCATAGGGTGTAAATCTTCCAAAATGTAGCATGTTAGGCGTGTAGGAAATATAATGAATCTTTTCTAGATCATTTGCATATGAAGAGGGGCTCAACAACCATTTAAGCATAATTTGCAAGAATGAAAACCATATCAAAATACAAGCAAGCAATACACAATAATCCTTGCTACTCACTGTATGTTTTAGACAATGGACTTTCCAAATTCCGGCAGGATGGACTTTGTGACAGTACTCAGGATAACTTGATGGTTCCAGGTAAATCTTCACTGCAACAGGTTCCCTGGCTGCTATCATTCCTGCAGAACATCACTTCAAATTGGAACTTGATAGTCAGTATTCCTTGAAAATCATTTGCTGTCATTAGCTTCCACCTGTTGAACTGAGACTGGACACAAAAGGCAGAAGCTGAATGAAGCACCTGTAGCTTGGTCTTAGTGTGAACATGCAGAATATCAAAATATGAATATCCCTAGTGCTGCGCCTATTGCCCCATCAAAAGCTATGAACTTGCTGAGGAAACCGGCAATTCATCAAGCAGTGTAGCAGGCACTCGTGCAACTGCTTTAGCACCTTGGCTTTGGTTACAAAGGGAATGGCACTTGTCATGCTGTTCATCAATGATGCCAAATTTCCTTTTGTTCATTATCTACACCTATACCAAGTATGTGAATGCTGATCTACATGGCACCAATCCTTATGACATGTGTTCCAAAACCTTCTTCGATCATGCTTAGTAAGCAAAGGTTTGTGTTCTCACTGGCAACTTAGGCATCGATTCTTGAGTTGAAAGACCTGGATCATCAAAAGATGATGCTTATCTCATGTTTAAAGGGCACTTTGTGCTGAAGTAGCAAACAGTGCCTTTCGCTCTTCCTTGGGGCAGCCCATGTTTGCTGAATTTACCAAATCGTTCTGAGGACCTTGTTCTACCAAGCTGAGAAGAACAACTGGTTTATTGGTGGCCAGTTTGACTATCACTACCTCAAAGCCAACAAGTTCAAGGGTATTGCGTGCTGCTTCACCAATGGGCACCTTGATTTGCAACCTTCTTCAATCAGCATGGGATGCATTTCAGATAATGCCTTGAGATTATATCAGTCCATCAGTAGATTATCAGCACACTTTGTCCATTTTTGAATGGACTGCAACCAAATGCATTTGTAAACAAATATTATGTGTTTTCATTATGCACTCACCCCAAATAAAAGCAGACACCTTTTGCCCGAATTTGTTTCTATTTTCAGGGAATCCCAATAAGGCAACCTATGGATCTCCTAAATCATTTTGATGGAACAAAATGTCATGTTTCAAACGCATGAGAGAAGTTTGTGTTGACAACCAAATCCATCATTACTGGAACTGAAGGTTGGACATAGGGGTGGGTAGAATAGAATGGTGCTGATTAGAAAATCTTCCCCCCAGAGCTAAGTAAAGATGTAGAAGGTGGAATGTATGATTTGGTATATACAGGTAGATAGGTAGGTAGTGAAATCCTGTCCACAGCCACCCCCGGTCCGCAGCCGCCACATGCCAAGGCACCAAATGGTCATCACCAAGACGAGCAACTGACAGACAAAAAAGGTCCCTGTTCGGGACACTGCCTGTGCGGCAGACTAGTTACTGTTTGCAGTGCTGTCCTTAGTCCAGGACATAAGTCCTGAGTGATCCTTAGTCCAGGACATAAGTCCTGAGTGATCCTTAGTCCAGGACATAAGTCCTGGGGATATATATATATATGTTTATTCATATATATATATAAATGTTATATGTTTATGTATTTCCTGAGGACATAAGACCTGGTGAAGATAATCTCAGTTGAATGGTTTTATCTTTGCATTACTACATGTGTTGTATCCTGTTTTTGTTTTGTCTGTTTGTCCATTTGGCCTTTGCAAACCTACCTCTTCGTTATCTTTATTTATATTGATCTAAATCTCAATGGCTATTTATCTATTGATCTATTGATTGATCTAACTAATGATTTAACTGCCAGTGTATTGATCCATTTGAGCGCGTGATTCATTTAGGCATATATACACATATATTTAGTTTGGCAGTCATAAGTTTATCGTCTAGCTATCATTGGTCTATATTCCTACTGTCAAACTATTTACAAATCATCTATGGTTTTTATCTAGCATCTATTCACTTACATGTCTAGCTGTATAAACATACTGATGCCTATGTTTCTTCTGTGCGTTGGTTTGCTTGTGAATGTTTTATTGTTTTTTTCCCAACACCCAAGGTCCTGGCATGTATACATATGGCCCAAGGACATAGGTCCTGGAAAATTTACATATGATCCAAGGACATAGTCCTGGTAAATATTCATATGTCCCAAGGACATAGGTCCTGGCAAGTATACATATGGCCCAAGGACATAGGTCCTGGCAAATATACATATGATCCAAGGACATAGGTCCTGGTAAAGAAAATGGCCCAAGGACTTAGGTCCTGGTAACTATACATATGGCCCAAGGACATAGGTCCTGGTAAGTATATATATATATATATGGCCCAAGGACACAAGTCCTGGTGAGTTATACATATGATCCAGGACGTAGGTTCTATACATATGAGGACATAGGTCCTGGTAAGTAAACATATGGTCCCAGGACATAGGTCCTGGAAAATATACATTTGGTCCAGAGATATATGTGTCCTAGTCCTAGTAAAGAAACACATGATTGAACTATACAATACATCCTGGTAGGTACACATATTGTATCATGATGATAGTTGTGGATGGATTATGATAGTTGTGGATGGACAATCCAACCTTTCTAGATTCTAGACTTGTAGATTTCACACACAAGGGGTTTCGCAGTAGAAGGCAGTGATAACCGGTTCCAAAAGAAACAAAAAGAACTTAAGGATTGCAGGATTCAACAACTGTAAACTCAAGTGAGCTATACACTGCAACTTTGATTGCACTTTTGGTGAACAAGTTGTTTACTTTAAGTTTGAACCTCAAAGCTGAACATAACACAGCTAGGCTTCTGTTCTCCAGCAATGAGTCTGCCCACTCCACTCCCCTGAAAAAAGAACTTTTGACTGGCCAGTTTGAACAAACATTTTTTGGAACCCAGGACTCAAAAACATGAAATGCAAGTCAATGCATGCACGAGAGTTTGTACGTAGTTCAGTTTATCATTCCTTTCTCCCAAGTAAAGCTGAGGTCCAGACTCCTGTGAGCAAGGAAAGGGGTCCAGCACAGCAAAGAATGAAGGCTCCAGGAGAAAACAACAAAGAGGATAAACATGGATAAACACATTATTCATTGAGACTTGTTGCCACCTGGAAATGGTTGATATTAGGAAAACCTTGAGTTAGCAAACAGGTTTCATATACAAATATGGTTTCCAGAGCCCAAACAATAACCAAGTCAAACACATCTGAACTGTCACTTCCTCATGAACAAACTGTCACTTCCAAAGGCTATGGATTTCTGGACGCATGATGCTTGTCTGGGCACGATTCATTTGGCTCCTAGATTTTTAGGGAAACTGAGCTATGCTCAAACATGTTGGGGGTTGATCAAACACTGGTACTAACATATATTGTTATTAATATTATCAAAGAATCAACATGTTAAGAGTTAATATATATATATATATATGTAGACCGTCTGTCTCGACAGGCACACGTCTGAACCACGTTCCGAGGCAGCTGTGACAGGCAGGAATCCCTGATTGATGAATGAACTGCTTCATCTCAGTCTAAAGTGAGTCCAAAATATGCCCATCCGTTCGGTTTAGCAGTCAAAGGGGAAATTGATTGGGCAAGCTAGGTCAAAGACGCGTGTGATACCAAAGAAACAAACACCTACATTTGGATACATTTGGTACAAAGCACCTGCCGAAATCAACCTCACTCAAAGATTCCAAAAGACTTGAGGCTTACTTACAGTAGCAGCCTACTTGTTGCATCTGCCACCACTTCCCTGGCTGCCGTTCCGGGCCGGTCCCGGGCCGGTCCGTGGCTGAGAGGAGGAAACTGCTGTCCACCGGACCGTCGCTCGGGACTCTCCATCCAGTCTTCGGCGGCGTCAAGGTACTGGACGCGGCGTAGGCCCAAACGTCATTGCCGCCCACCTGGAAGGATGCCCAAACGTCATATATGGCCCTTTTCAAAGTCGGGAAAAGCATGCTGAAACGTCGGGAGCGAACTGGGAAAGCTTGTGGGTGTCTCCCGCATGAAAACTTCCTACTCTATATAGCTTCTGTACTCTCAAATGTCGAATTCTTTGGGAGAGTGTTAGAGAGTCGTGCATGGCTGTCGTTTGTAGAGGACCATGAAGATCTGCTTTCCTCCTCCACTAATTGCCAATATCCCTTTTCACGGAACCTTCTCATGGTAAAGAAACAACGAACAAGTGTATACACACGGAACCACTCGAACGGCGTACGTCAACAACTAGGTTGAACGGTTGGTTTTTCTTGGATGGTCTATAGACAAGAAAAACAACGGCAGCGTCACGGGCCTTAGCACCAAACCACCAGCCGCAAAATGCCGGATCATCGCTGCCATCCCAGTAGTAGAGCCTCGGAAGCTGCCAAGCACTGTGTTGACCGTGCTTGTGGCTTCAAGCTTCAAACATATTCTCGTGCGAACGAACGATTCTCGGTCATGGGCCTCAGGCCGTTCGAAAGAACGAATTGCAGGTCGTTCCTTTCGTCGTTGTTGCACCGAGGCATGCTGAGCACAACGACCTGCACGTCGGATTCATTCACCGGGCGGCTGCACGTCCAAGCCGTTCACTTTGGTATCCTTCTTGTAGGTTGGCCGCGCATGATTCTGCCCATTGACGGTGAATGTGCCGCGGACGATGTGCGCCACCGTCGTGTGGGCGCATCCAGTCACCAAGATGCAAGCAACACTTCCCACCTCCTGCAAAGGAAACATGAGGAAAGCAGTGAAAGTAGCACAATTTTCGGCAGGTGAAACAATCAGTTGCACAATCCAGCTTAATAGAGCAAATCCTGTGGTTTCCTGGGTCTGTACTTATGACCCTCAGTTTGACTATACCCCCATGAATCTCAGACTTGTTTAACCGATTTGTAAGGCGAATCTTGGTCCAGGTCTTGATAGTAAAATCGGTGCTGCAGCTTGTGCGCGAGGCCCATTAGCCTGTAGGCCCTAGGCCTTTTGGTTCGTTTTTGTTTCAAGGGTTTGAAGTTCATTGCAATACGCCCCATCTCGTCCTGATCCAGTTTGTCGTCCTCTTTCTCTCTCTTCTCTACCTGAAGCTTCACAAAGGTGCTGTTGCGCTGTTGGGCTTGATAGTGGGTACACGGGTTTAAAGAAGCTGATGCGAGCTGATATGTTTTTTGACAGGTTCCAACATACACCCTTGGAAGTTTCCAAAAGTTGAACAGTTCTACCACACAGTAAACCTGTCAGTTTCCCACGAATTGTGCGTTCCTCGCCTGCTGTGCCCATGGTGGGAGCACTTGCGGACTGTACACCTTGCCTGGCTGCCAGGCTTGACCACAAGGTGGATGAAACGTGGAAGGGTAGTTGGAAATGCGACATTGATTCTGTATACAGGAGTTGATGCTATAGATTCTGCATCTGTTGACAGCAAGCGTGAACAGTTCAACCGGTACATCTGAGGCCATAGGGTCATAACTCTGTCAAAGGCGCTATGTTATGCGTCGCAACAATTGGCTACGACTGCTCCTTCCAGCTCTCAACCACCGCGCCTTCACACAACTTTGCCGGATCCTTTCGCTACCGGTTCATGATTCAAAAGGATAGTTTACCACACCAACAACTTTCCATAGTGTCAGATTTGGGAGATACCCCTCTCCTCTTCCTGTTCATCATCTTCTGGCCAGAACTCTTCTGCCTGCAACTTTCGCAAATGCATGTACAACTGATCACATTTGGTGATTGATCCCTGGTTCACTGGTCCCAATACAAGTTCAATCTTCCAGAAAGCTCGGCAATCCTTGGAATTTGCCTCAAGGCATAAATCCAACCTTGAAAAACACATCATGAGAATAACATACCAAGGGAAGTTTGACTCACATGTTGCTGGATGATAGTGTGTCGAGGCGACAAAGATCCACCTGCACATGCTAGACCGTCAATTGCTCCCGTCATATGCACGTCTGAAGGGCCAGTGCTTAAATTCAGGTGGATCGCAAGAACTTGCAAGAACTTCTACTGCAAATAGTTCAACCCCTTACACTAAAACGATATCCTCCTCTCGATGGTACCCTATGCTAAAAACAGCGGTCTCGTCATTCCACGTTCCTTTTTTTCCAGCCTTCCATCAGGATGCCAACATACACCAGAAGTCTGCATTGGATATATCTATATAATATTGTCCAATAGTTCAACAGTTCTACCACACAGTGTGACACATTTGTGAGAAGTACCGATCGTCAACCAAACTCCTCTGGGGGCAAGGGAAACCTGGTGTGTCGCAAACATGTGAGAAAGCGACCACAAAAATATGTCCACCCAGGAAGATAGCACAGTATGCTTAACTTGTATACTGTATACTGTAGTCATTTGTCGTCTAATTCGACCCTGCCACCGTAGTGTTGTAGTAAAATCTCAATTGTCAGAAGTCTGTCACAGTTTCCCACAAATTTTGGGTTCCTCGCCTGCTGTGCCCATGGTGGGAGCACTTGCGGACTGGATACCTTGCCTGGCTGCCAGGCTTGACCACAAGGTGGATGAAACGTGGAAGGGTAGTTGGACATGCGACATTGATTCTGTATACAGGAGTTGATGCTATAGATTCTGCATCTGTTGACAGCAAGCGTGAACATTTCAACCGGTACATCTGTCAAAGGCGCTATGTTATGTGTCGCAACAATTGGCTACGACTGCTCCTTCCAGCTCTCAACCACCGCGCCTTCACACAACTTTGCCGGATCCTTTCGCTGCCGGTTTATGATTCAAAAGGATAGTTTACCACACCAACAACTTTCCATAGTATCAGATTTGGGAGATACCCATCTCCTCTTCCTGTTCATCATCTTCTGGCCAAAACTCGTCCGCCTGCAACTTTCGCAAAAAGCATGCACAACTGATCACATTTGGTGATCCCTGGTTCACCGGTCCCAATACAAGTTCAATCATACCCCTCTCCTCTTCCTGTTCATCATCTTCTGGCCAGAACTCTTCTGCCTGCAACTTGCACGGATGTTTGCATATGTGCAGCAAGCTGCTCGCGCCAAGCTTGTCAAACACTCCTAAACTACCTTAGAAACCAATGTGAATCCGCCACACTCCTGCCAAGTATCACCATTTAGAGGCCATTTGCAAGCAGTTTCCCTGGCACACTTTTGGGGCACCCTTCAACACCCTTTGGTCGTTCATGTAGGTGTCGTTCATTAGAACTTCTTCCGTGACCGAAGACGGAGGTGTGAACTAGCCGTGACTTAGCCGTTGGCACGGCTGGGCCGTGCTGCCTTGGCCTTGGTCGGTGGTGAAACGACGGTGGCTTCATATGCATATACTCGACCAAGGACCCTCCAAGGGGTGTCCTGGCTGGACTACCCCACACTACCTATAGGCTTCCAGACAGGGCACCCCTTGGAGGGTCCTGGTATATTCTCTGTAGTTGGTGGTTTCAACTCAAAAGATGATGAGGACCTGTGGGTTCAATCATCCCTGTGGGTTCAAGGTCGAAAACATACAGGTATCTAAAACCACCACACAGTAGTTACTTTAACGGTATTCATTCTACCTTTTGATGGATTGATTTCCTGCAACTTGAACCACCTTTCAATTCAAAGGACGCCTTTTGACCCATTTTTCACTACCAACGCCCAGAACCCTTCCCCAACAAAAAAGGATTTCTCCTCATGGAGAAATTATACAAGTCTTTGGGTCCCTCCTCCAGATCAGATTATTTGCGGCCAAACCTTCTATATAGACCTTCTGGGGCGGGAAGGGGCTAATTCATCCGGAGTTGACATAGTAGATGAAGTAGTTACAGTCAGTACGTAGCTCAAGCACAAGCACAAACCTTCAATCAAATCAATTCGCGTAAAATGCAACCCCCCCTAAATCAACATACGGAATTCTGACTGGTCTTGAAGAGAAAACTGTTGCAACCTCACGAGTGAGTCACATCTTCCCTGTTTTGTGCCACGGATGAGTCACACTCTCCCACCTCGATTGCGGTGTCCGCCGTCGTGGCTTCGCGTGAACTCGGCAGTTCTGCGGAGTTCGGGCAGGTCGCCGCAGTGCCTGGCTGGTCTTCGTCAAGAGATGAATCCGTTCGAGGAAAACACAAAGCCATACCGGCGATACCCCAAAGAGGATCATGGCACATAACAACAAACCCCTGCCTTGGCGTCAAATACGGGACCAATGTGATGTATTGAAACTATATGAAACTACAAACGCATTGACTTCCCCTATGTTGAAGTTGGTGGCCGCAACAAACGGATTCAAATCAAAGGTCACATGATGTAACATCAGGTGACGCTTAAATCACCATCATGTGGTATGTCCATATCGATGGCAAATCTATAGCCATTCTTCTAAGTTTGAAGACTCAACCATCTACAATTTAAAATAAACTTCACGAATTGTCCGGAAACTCCAAAAAATTATACAGAAACTATGAGAAACGTCATGAGGTACAAATAAAATCAATGCAGGACCATCCACAAGAAACCATGAACTTCACACTGATCCAGTCGTCTGACGAAACGTCTATATACGGGTTTTCAAATTCCCTTGTGTTGAGAGCAAACGCAGGGAAGGCTCCCTGCTTGTCACCCGCCTTCAGGCGACTGAAGTTGCGGTTCCTGATGCTGGCACCAGACCGGTACTGCCGGTGATTTGTTTGTGGCACTCTGGTGCAGAATTCAGTTCTGCAACTCTTGAGTCACAGTTGTCAACGTGATTTGAAGATAGGTCCAGCCCAAGGAAAAGAGCCCACAGCTAAATTAAACAAAGCTTGAATTGAAGATAGGTCCAGCTTGGGAAGCATTTCAACACGTATTTATACTTTCACCACTTTCTAGTCTATCCATCCATCCATCCATTTATCTTTTAAATGTAATGTTCCAGCCAACGTGTGTTCAATAGTCTTTTCACCCTGGAAAGATGACATGGCAAAGAGACCAACAAACATGCCGGTATAGTCCTTGAAAGCTCCAACCCTGAATTGGGCAGGTGCTCAGTAAGGAATGAGGGAACCGCCAATAGAGATTCCTGTATAATCTTAATGTAGATACATTTTCTCATTCCGTACTCAGAAACACTCAGTGAACTGGACTGGAGATTATGATGCAGCTGGGGATCCCTTTGACCCTTTTGGGCCCTTCCATCAGTGCAAAAGCTGGAAAGGCTACGGATGACAGTGGGCACCTAAACACGGCCACCCTGTAGATACAAGTAATTGCGTGCGGATAGTACTGAACATTCACTGTGGTAAGGATTACAAACCAAAAAAACAATGTACTTAAACTAGACCGCTTCACATTCCAATGGATACCAGGTGAGCACCGCCATGTAGTTAGCTGACCAACCAATCAAAACACGAGTCAGCTCAACTCAATCGCCCAATCGCCTGGGCCTCCGTCAAATCGACACCTGCCAGCCATGAGGCCTGGCAGGGCTTAGATTAGAGAGAGATGAATCCTCTGGACATGCCGGTTGGTGGCCATCTACTCAATTTGTACATTGTAGATGATGAGAACCTAAGACCAATTGAAATCGGTTTGGGCAAGATATTTATTCATCTCTTGAGAATGATGCTTCATTCTTGGTTCAAACGAATGGGATGCTTCATCATTCGACTCTTTCGGGTGATGACGCACAGCGCCGCCTCCAACAAGACCTTTGCTGTTGGGTTCTCGTGTGTGGACGGGTCTGAGGAGGCAGCATCCGCCACCCCTTGCAGCACTTGCAAGGCGTTCTCCACATCAAGCTTGGCCAAGCTTCTGGCCACGACGCCCAAGCGAAGGGGCGTCTGAAAGAAGCCCCCGTCGTTGAGGTCACGGATGCAATTGGCGATGCGCTTGTTCACCCTCACTGTTCCCATAGGGAACTACATCAGCGGACAAGGAACACATGAGCCGAATAGGGCGGATAACCCTGAAAGCACGTGAAAAAATCAGTCGAAAGCCTGCATTCCGCGGCGCTTGAAATCTGGTCGAAGGTAATGCTTTCTTTGGGGTTGTAATCAAGCTTTCAGTGATGTTTGCAGCCAAATCAATGTGGAGAGAATGTTGGAAAGTCAGTGAGAGTTCTCATGTAATTGACAACGCCAAGGTACTAAATAGCACACATATTCTAAAAACTTTGTTCAGGATATACATTTTGAGATCTCAATATTCATTGAGCCGTGCGTGGCTCGCCTCCGGGCGTTTGGTTCTCGCGATTCCCAGCCCCCCCATTTGGTCCGTTTGAGGTGAGCACGTCTCCATCTGTGGCAAAATACACTGTGACATCTGTGACCATAAACCCTTGACATCGAGCAAATATGGTTTGATCCCTGGTTTGATCATGTTTGATCCAAACGATGCCGAAAAGATCAATATCATAGTCTGAACAAATCGTCATAAACCGTTACAAGCCATTGAAGTCAAAGGGTCCATCCTTTGCATGTGCGATCCCCGACTGGGGAAGGGATCCCCGACTGGGTTGCTTGAAGGTGAACGGATCATCTAACTCAAAACCATGGATGGTGAACGCGACCCAGTAGACCCCCCAGTTCATGTGTGAGATGCTCAAAAAAGGGACCTCTAGCTCTGATCAATAATACCACCACAGCACACAAAATGGTTGTTGCCCAGGGTTCCGCATGTATATTTTGTGGTTTGGAAGGCTGCAGACTTTTCAACACGTATTCGCTTTGCAAGCTACCAGTCCGCCAGTCTGTTCCCGCAGGGTGTTTCCACCCCCAGAGTGCTGGTTCGGATGACGAAGAACACCTCGACCCCACGAAGACGTCCCACGAGTCGCGACTCTCCATCCTTCCGTATACAGCGGTCTCTGGGTTCCCCTCACGGCGCCCAAGCCAGGCCCCGAGAACTCGAAGTCCACCACTGCTGCTTCGACGCCCTCCTCCAGTCCGAGGAGTCGGGCGATGTCCATCGCCGATGTAGAGGATAGGGTGGGTGGATTGGGTGACCCTGTGATTCAGATTATTAAGTGCCATACCTGGATCCTCCTTTGGGCGGAAAAAAGTGCCGGACCTCAATCCGGCAAAATTTTCCGCCGGATTCCGAAAAAAATGCCGGAGACCTGAAAAAACATCCGGATCCAAGATTCTGCAAAACAGAGATGATAAAAGGTTGGGTCATACACAAGGAAATTGCCTTTGCGCCGCGAGTCGTTTTTCTGGAGCACACTCGAACCTTCCCGTTCCCATTGCCCTCGCCCATCTTCCGAATGGCCTAAGAGCAAAACCATCACAAAATAAAAACAACTTGTGCCCAAGCAAAGACTTCCAAGAAGAAACCAAGGAGCATGTGGCAATCAACTCATCTTTCTCTGCAACCGTGTCTCTAAAGTGTGTTTTCATTTTTCCAAAGTGGGTTGCTCTCCATGATTCTTATGCTTCTTAATGTTTCTTTAAAGCTTGCCTCAGGACGGCCCCCCCAATAAAGTAGCAGATCTCATGGTTCCTGTCAAAACTCTTCTTTGAAAAACTTTTCAAAGTCAAAGCCTGCAGAAGACTCAGTCCAAAAAAATACGTCGGAGTTACGGGAAATTACGCCGGAGTTACGGGAAATTACGCCGGAATTACGGGAAATTACGCCGGAGTTACGACGTGCTAGTTTTTGACAACTCTCTGCAAAACATTGAGATTCTGAACAACACATGTTCCACAGCCCAAAACTTGTCCGGCAGGCTCTGCAAACCTGCGCAGCTAGAACTATATCCCAGCGCCCCGACATCCTGAAACAATGGGAATACATTTTTGCCTATGCTCTTTCAGCTTAGGTATGCCCACTTGGGTCTTTCAATAGGTGCATCGCACTGTACCGGCTTCATCCGATTTCATTTATAGAAGATCACCTAAACGGATCTGATTGATCCAGTGTGAACCATGCTGAAACAGGTGGAATGAGAAAACAGCGGAACAGGCAAACGAGCACACATTGCAAACAAAATCATTGCATCAGTAGTGGGTTTACCTTCAAAGAAATGCAGACCACAAAGAATGCAAAGCCTTGAGAATCCACATAAGGTGACTTGGAAAAAGCGCCGGACCCTGTAAAAGTGCCGGACTGAAGATCTAGGTATATTAAGTGTCATATATATAATATATAAGATCTGTATAGTTATAATATATAACAGCTATATACACATGTTAATATTAGGCGTTAATACATATCCCCGAAAGGCCTGAGCTTGAGAGTAGGAAGGACATGTCCAAATCAAGAACGGCTGGAATTTGCGATCTGTCCATGCCCACGCGTGGAATGCAAATTTGCGCTAAAAATGGAGTGAACCAAAGAGAGTCTCGAAGAACCACACCTTGAAGCATCGTCTTCACTCGGATGCGTTGAAGGACCGGCCGGATGCGAAGGACAGGACCACCTGAAGGACGGATGAGGCCAAATGGAAAGAACATGCAAGAACCCTTCTTGGTGAGGGGGCTTCTGCGACGGGTGAGGGATCAAATATAGGAATAACATTAACAATAAGAACCATATTCCATGGGGATCAAAACCAAAGGATCAACAGAGAACAATTCTTAGTGAGCAATGAAAGGAAAAGAGACTAGGGAAAGTTAGGGCGACAAAGCATCAGGCACCTGCCTGCAAAGCAAACCAAAACACAAAAGAGAACGAAAGGATAGACAGGTTGGACAAACAAAGCAAGGGTGGGCCCTGTCAACCACGAAAGGACAATGAAATGACGTTTGTAACACACACATATTATATAAACCCCCTTGGAATTCGGGCTCCCTCTTGGACTGTCTGATTCTTTAGGAGGCCACCTGCCACCTGCCACCTTAAAGAATCCTCAATCCACAGTGCCCATACCAACATGTCAGCTGAAAGAATCAGGACTCTGCCAACACACACTGGGCACTGGCCCTAAAAAATCAGAACACGTTGAGCACAGTGCGCACACACCTGTGGCACCGGACTCCCCCTAAAGAATCAGAACACCTGGTACTAGTCTAAAAAATGCATGGTGAACTCCAAAAATGCATGGTGAACTCTAAAGAATGGCCTGGTTTTTGACAACCCGGGTTGGCTGATTCTTTAGAGGAAATTCCAAGGGGGATTTTATATATATATATAATGACATAGGCGAGGGCATGGTCACCTCAAAAAGAACCTGTGTTGGCAGGCGCATTGCATTGGCAGAAGTCGAGGCCAGCGGACCAGGAAAAGGACCAAGGACCAAAGGAGACCAGAGGTCCCCTGATTCTACTCACTCAGGATTGTTCACTTTTTTAAACTGATCCTATCTTATTTGTGGATCCTCTTCTTGTATCTGTTGATCTAGGTGCCTTCTGCGACCTTCAACCAACTCCACATCACGTCCCATCCGTCCATGTCCTACTACTGATTGATATTCATCTCCTCCAGGCACCGGCCCGGGCAGCCGTCCTCGGTGTCCCGAAGGAAGAAGTTGGCCGTTTTGAAGTCTCCGTGGAGCCTCGGAGAAGGACGTGAAGTCTGTTTTTTCCCGATGGAGTCGGTGGAGTTCTCATAAGCTGCGGTTTTGTTCCAAACATTGTCCATCTCCAAATCGAAGTGCTACCCAGGCGCTCCAAACAGCCCTTGGTCCCTCAAAACCTAGGGATTGGTTCAACCCCAGACCCTTCCCAGGAGGGTCCGCGGTCGGCTCTAGTTGGGTGGCCCAGTCGGGCGGTGTCTCATCCCGAAACATTGAAACCCCTCGAAATCCGCCTGCCCGTGCGAGTGAGTCGCACGCGCTTTTTGCCCACGAAAACCTTGCGAGGAACAAGGTCCGGTACTTGACGAAGCCCTTGCTCTTCCGTAGCCTTGGAGATCCGTAGCAAGGGATCCGCCGATCGGATCCGCAAGGGATGAAGGAAAATTTCGTCTGAGATGTCGGCCAGCACCACCCCGGTCGGTTGGTTCATACTTAGATGTTCACAACCCCCCTGCCCATGTACTTGACCATCCAATTGTGGTGCTGAGGCTAGTCTAGCGCATATCATTAATATGTATTGCTCGAAGGAGTTCACAATCGATCGGTGGTGAAACATGTTGATACAGTAGGTGTGGCAAGATTGCTCCGCACGTACAGTTGGAAATTCACCAGAGGATTTGGCGTTTCTGAGCTGTAGCCACAAAATTTAGGATCTGAAGTCTGAATCTGTCTTGATGCTATATAAGCTCCACAAGCCATCCAAGTGATCCTCTCTTTATATATACCTTGTAAGTGTCCCAACAAATCATCTGCATCAAATGATCTTCCGAACGTTCTGCGGTTTGCTAAGCTAGATTTGTTCACTAATGAGATTCAAACGTTTGTTCATTGGTGTTTATGTGTTTGTCCTCGGGATTTGTTTTGTGACCTGGCAATGACTTTGCTCGTTGATATCAAATGAGGTGGACACTTGTGGTGGTGTGTTCTTTCGGGTATAATATCTATGTGTATATATATATATAATGGTTTAGATGTTATGACTCTGGTGCACCTATGTCGTGCATGTTTCCAGGTTCTTCTACATCTCGGGCCCTCGGGATGTAAATGCGGACAAGTGGTTCTTCTGGATCTTGTCCCCTCAAACTTTTACCGACATGATCCGACATGTTCGTTTGGGTTTGTTTGGATCTTCCAGGCTTTAAACTCTAAACATTGCTTGGCAAAGACACTTCTTCATTGTCTTCCAACCTATGGACTATGGTTGGTTCTTCATTGATCTTCTTGGGAATCTCGTAGCTTTGCATGGCTCTCTCTCTCTCTCTTTCTGTCTGCGACTCTCCTGGCTTCAAAGGTCCAAACACGGCGTCCAACGGCTTGGCGGCGGCTTGGAGGCGAGGCCTCGATCGATCCGCGTCGCACTGTTCGGTTCGGACCGGTGGAACGAAGGTACTGACCACGTCTTCACTACCCGAGACCATTGTGGACCACTGTGGTGCAATGGGGATTTGATTGGTGCTTGCGG